CCCCAAAACCCCAAAACCCCAAAACCCCAAAACCCCATAAGAAAAATTTTATGGTATATAAAGATGAGTGATCCTTATTCTAAATTAATAAATAATTTAAAGAGAGAAATCTAGTATCAATGAGCAACAATTATTAATAGCGCAATGAGAGATAAGAATATGACAGAAATTATTACATTGGTTACTAATCCTCTAGACATAGAAGCAACTCAGATGAACAAAGAAGGAGTCAAAATCTCCAATAAAAAGGGGTCTAAGTAGCAAAAATTAGAGTAGATGAGGAGGAGTACTATTAAAATCAATAGTTATAGTTCATCACAAAACAAATATACTCAAAATGCCCACAATCAATCTCTACATATAAGAGACAGATCGAGTTGGAGCAAAAGCTTGTTCCGATTTAATTAACCAACTAAGAAGGTCAGTAAAATTGCTTTGTCAACGTAATATTCTAAATCTTGATAAATCTTCAATCTATGAAAGAGATTCTAAATTAGTACGCTAATAATGATTTTAAGAATGGTAACTCTACTTTATTATAATCATAAAATTTTTAGATTCATTAGACGAGAGTTCCTTAATATCAGAAATTAAGGTATAACTATATTCAGCTTTCGTTTTCAATTTAATTTCTGATATAGACATTTTTCAAATAGGCTTTCAAGATTTAAAATAATGCAAGTTAAAACGAGTAATCTTAATTAAATGTTTTTGGTATTAGAAGAGAACTTGCTAAATTGTTCTACAAGTAAGTTTTAATTTCATTCTTCTAAACTATTATCTCATCATCAAATACTCTTTTAAATAACTTCAATAGCAAAGGTTTTGAGCTATAAACTAATTAAATCTCACTCCATTTCTTTTTTAATAATTTATCAACTTTGCATTAATAGAATCTAATTTTGATCAATTTTATTTAGTCAAAAGTTTCAGCTTAATGAATAAGGTGATTCAATTGAATTATTATAAGTTATACTAAATTTGATCCACCTTAGCTGCATTAATAAATAATAGAGATATACTGGCTAAAAAAAAATGAATCTTGAAGCACAGATGGATTTAGAATGTTCTCGTTGCATTGTTCATTAGAACTTTTGGGTTCAATAAGTCATCAGAAATGTAATATTTTTTGTATAACATATTAAATTTAAAGGTTTGTGAAAATGACCATGTATAATTAAATCAGCCCCATTACTAAAATTCCTTTCACTTAGTAATCTTTTTTATTTTAATCATAGAAAAATAGGATATAAATGGATTAGAATACCTTTAAAAGCTAAAAAAACAACCAACACAAGGATTCAGCAGTTTCATCATTAGTTAAGTTTAGAGTACTAAAAATAAATGTAGTAGATGCAGACTAACTATCAAAGAGAAACAATTTATACTAAAACCTTACCCCAGGATCCTTACCTACAATTTTTAGTGGGGGGACAGAGAAAAGGTCTCATTCTTTTAAAAATTAAATTTATTTAAAAGTTTAAATGATGGCCTTGAACTCTCAAAACTATTTCATATTGACTTTAATGACGACAGTGATGAATCACATAGAAAGTTGTACGTATATATAAATCATTTATTATTCAATTTAATAGTATTTACGATCTTAAGGCAATAGTGATAATAGTCGCAAGTCATTACTAATTACTTATTAGAAATTCATTCTACGAAGATGATATTATGCATGATGTTTGGTACTTACTAGATGATCATAAGAATAAAATATTTTATGAATGGCATTAAGTAGTGGAGTTTTGTATTTCAACAGACGATTGTCTACCAACGATAGTTATTTATGAAGCTTAGAGTAGGGAAGATAAATATTAAATCCCTTAGAAAGAATTAAGAATCTCTGATCAAATTTACTAGAAAATTAAGTAAGATTGTATAAAAAGAGATGAAATCATAAAAGATTTGAAGGGAGATTAACAATAACAAATTTAGCAGTAAAAAATTTTTGAAGAAATTCGACAGAGTAGATTACAAAATGAATCTAGTTAGTAACAATAAAAGATAAGTTAATAAGACGGCTTTTTGTATTCGAGTGGCAATGAAAGGTCAAGGCATTACCCAGATTATGAATTCGATTTTGGCCAAGATTATCTCTTCAATCAGTTAGACAAATAATAATTGTAGGAGAATTTAGATGTAAAAAAGAATGATAAATCACCTCCTTTACGAAATGCCTAAAATAATGATTTTGAATCTTAGGTTAGTCTACATGTATCTTCAAAAAATGATAAGCAAATAGATAACTAGCAAATCAGCATCACTCAACTTATGAAAGAATATAAAGATGATAACATTTTCTTGTTTTAGTGCTAATATTGCCAGAGATATATTATGCTTCACCTTAAATAATGCTACATGTGTTCCTCTGATAATCCGTACTATGATGAAGGACTCTCAATAGTTAGAGAAGTTGAATAAATAGTAGTCTAGCATCTGAGCAATTATTATGGAATAGATATCATTTTGTCTGAGTAAGACTAAATGAGAACCTCAATAAAATCTTTTAAAGAATTCAAATAGCCTTTTGATCAACCTATATAATAAAATATAAAAGATTAGAGATAGAATAATTAAGATAAGGATATCAGTTTTAATTTTCCATCTAAAGATGAGAGAGGAGATTAAAGTAAAAAGAATTATGATTTTAATTAAAATAATCTCAACCAGGATAAAATAGATATGAAATGTAAGAATGAGGAATAATTAAATGATACCTTGAACTTAACTAGTTAAACTGCATTAAACTAATCTAATTATTCCTTGAGCAAGAGGGAAAATAACAAAAATCTTGAAACTGATGAGAATGAGTTAAAATAACTTTTGGAATTTTCCCCTTATAAAATAGAACAGAGCTATATGATGTCAACAAAACCATAATAAAAAAATTACTCTAAAGAAAGTATGAAGAATGATAATCTAAATAATAATTAAAGTTTTATGAGAAATTATTAAGATAACGATCAAAAGAAAAAATAGTAGCAATCATATCATGAAGTTTAGTAAAATGAATAAATGAAAACATCGAATTATTAAGCTAAGCCCTAGTCTAATTTAATGTCAGAGTAAATTATCTCGAAGATTAAAGCTAATCAGAATAGAAAATCTTCAAATTTATTTCAAGAAAAATAATATTAACAAAACACAGCTATCAATACTAAAATCCCAGGGTAAATTAAAGTTTGTCAAGCTATTATACAGGAACAAGATATAACCCAGCAAGGTCTGGATATATATTCTGCAAGATAACCGATCACTCATCAAATAGACCATGAATACGGTCTTCATGTCAATGTTAAGAACTAAGAAATTTAATCTTAAAATGTCACAACACATTATTAAAAAGAAATTATTAAAAATTCTCCTAATGAATACTAAAATTCAGGTCACAGAGGTAGAGCCCCCAATACTAGAGAAAATAATAGAGATTTGTTAAAATCTTCCTTTCTAAAAACTTCGATTGAATAATAGAATAAAAAGCGAGAATATACTGTTAAGCCTCCTAGTTCATTCTAAAGAAGTAGTGCTCTATTAGGATTATAGTATAAGGCAAAATATCTTATTAAGGATGAGCCTAATTCTAACTTAGAGAGGATAAAATGTCCTTTTTGCCTCTTAATCTAACTTTTCAATTTAGAATAGTGCAGAAGATGCGGTGTGGTATTTTCTAAGTTGCACAAGGAAGAGTATAGATACGCATGAACTTATGATAATCAATTCCGTGCTAGTATTTATCAACCATTCAAATCATTTATGTGTTTTTTAAATATGGCACCTTAATTATTAAAGAAGAAATTATTCTTTAGTAATATTTTTAATTTTCAAGCTATTCTTAATTATATCTATCTTTATTGACATTTTTATCAATTTTACTTTAATTCTATTTTATGGGGTTTTGGGGTTTTGGGGTTTTGGGGTTTTGGGGTTTTGGGG